TCATCCTCTCATTCATTTGCTCACTCATTTATTCATTTATTTTGTTCGCTCATCCATTCATCCGCTCATTCATCCAGTCGTTCACCCACTCATTTATTCACTCACTCATTCATCCACTCACTCATTTATTCACTCACTCATTCACCCTCTCATTCCTTCTGTTGGAAAGTATTGCTGTTGCTCCATTTCTTCTAATTGACTGATATGACTGGATTTAATGTAAGTCTGATATTGAACTGTTTTTGACACTGGAATTTGTTATTGGATTATCCCTGGATTGAAGAACTGACTGATTTTACCTGTGAATGACTTTGGATTGCTTATTTTGGACTTTGCTTAAACCTTTCTGGAAGTAAAAACCTGCATTTACTGTACAGTGTATCTGTGTGCTCTGTGTGTATTATTCAAACACTCCTCTCAAATACATCTCCCTGTATGCGCTCATTCTCCTAACGGGGGATTACCTCAACAGTTATCGTCTCATGACACCCTAGACCAGGGGTCTCAAACTCGCGGCCCGCGGGCCAATTGCGGCCCGCAGGACGATATCCCGTGGCCCCCACCATGATATGAAAGTATAATATTAGTGCGGCCTGCAGGGGGAATGGACCTCTGAAGGAAGTCCTGCCCGCCGTTCCTCGTCGTGGCTTCTTCTCCACCCTGAACTTTAACAAGTCCAAGTACAGGTCCAGACTTACTGATGATCATCTTCAAGCCATACTGAGGGTCTCAAGTGCCTCCTCTCTCAAGCCAAATGTGGCTCAGATATGTGAGAGGAAGCGTTGTCAAGTCTCTGGAGCAAGGAGTAAGCTGTGGAGAAGCCACGTTCTGAGGAACTGTTCATGATCTTCATTCAATGTTCCATTCATGTGTTCAGGACAGTTCATGTATTGGAGAAATCGTTAACTGTTGATGACATTCGAGGATATTTTTTTAACAACGTTTTTTGTGGAATCCCTTATGCGGCCCAGCCTCACCCAGACTCTGCCTCCAGCGGCCCCCAGGTAAATTGAGTTTGAGACCCCTGCCCTAGACAATTATAAGGAAAGGGTGGGGGGGGGAACCTGTGGGTCTGCTTGATAAGTTGATTTATCGAACAATTGCATGTATTTTCCATCTGCCAAAATGGCTGGTGAACAAAATAAAAACATTAAAAAACCATCGTTTGAAACACACACACACACACACACAAAGAACTTCCTGTTTCCAGCTTCCGGTGGGCCTCCAGAGGGTGAAAACAGCCTCCCTCGGGCCCTGGAGGCTTACCGGAAGCCGCAAACAGGCCCATTTCCTGACTTCTGGCACTTCCGTGAGGGCCGTTTTTCACCCTCCCAAGGGTCCAGAGGCCTCTTCACTTGGCTTAATTTAACTTGGCTGTGCTCACCTGTGCCTCCCCTTGCCATGACACTCACCTGTTGCAAAGCCCACGAGGAGGATCACATAAAGCATCAGGAAATGCCAAAGGTCCTTCAAGATGACCTGGAACGAAAATGAGAAGCAATGTGTAGATTGTGCTGACTTTCGAACTCGGCACCTAACAATGGGCCCTCCTCTCCAAAAGCATGAATTTCAATGTGGAGGAAAGCAAGGCTTTCATACCTGGGCAGGAAAGGTACAAGTACAGATTAGGCAAAACCTGGATCAAAAAAGAGTAACAGTGAGAGGGAACTTGGAGTCCTAGTGGACAATCACTTAAAGACGAGACAGCCGTGTGCGGGGCAGCAGCCAAAACAGCTAATCCAATCCTTGGTTGTCTAAACACGCACAAAATCGAAATCATGTGAAGTATTAGCACCGCTTTATAAAGCCTTAGTAAGGTCACACCTGGAATCCTGCATCCAGTTTGGGTCCCCATGTTACAAAATGGATGCTGAGACTTTGGGAAAAGTGCAGAGAAGAGCAACTAAAACAATTAAAGGCCCAGAGACTAAAACATATGAAGAACAGTTGCAGGATTTGGGTCTGGCTAGTCTAGTGGAAAGAAGGACCAGGGTTGACATGATAACAGTCTTCCAATATCTCAGGGGCTGCCCCAAAGAAGAGGGAGTCAAGCTATTCTCCAAAGCCCCTGAAAGGCAGGACAAGAAGCAACGGATGGAAACTAACCAAGGAGAGAAGCAACCTGGAAATAAGGAAGAATTTCCTGAAAGTGAGAACAATTAACCAGTGGAACAACTTGCCACCAGAAGTTGTGAGTTCTCCAACACTGGAGATTTTTAAGAAGAGATTGGAGAAAATTTTGTCTGAAATGTTACAGGGTTTCCTGCCTGAGCAGGGGGTTGGACTAGAAGACCTCTAATGCCCCTTCTACCTCTATTCTGATTGAACTTTATCTGCCCCCACCCTGTGGAATATCCTCCCCCTCACTTTCCTGGCTTTGTGAAAACTGCTAAATGAGGACAACCTGTACTTGATCAGCTGAATTTAGATTCGGGGCTGCCCTGTGAAATCAGAGGTATTCCAATATAGGTAGTCCTCGACTTATGACCACAATTGAGCCCAACATTTCTGTTGCTAAGCAAGACTGTTGTTCAGTCAGTTCTGCCTCATTTTACGACCCCTCTTGCCACCGTTGTTAAGTGAATCGCTGCATTTGTTAAGTTAGTCATGTGGTTGTTCAATTAATCTGTCTTCCCCCTTGAATTGGTTTGTCAAGACGTCACGAAAAAGAGGATCACGTGACTCAAGGATACGCCAACTGTCATAAATACGAGTTGGTTGCCAAGCGTCTGAATTTTGATCGCGTCACCATGGGGGATGCTGCAACAGTTGTAAGTATGAAAAATGGTTGTAAGTCCCTTTTTTTCCAGCACCGTTGTAACTTTGAACAGTCACTAAACGAACTGTTATAAGTTGAAGATAACAGAATTTGCAAATGGAAATGATCTGGTTTCGTGAACTACCTTCTGTATCATCACGAGGCAGATTCCCGTCTGCTGGCAACCGCGGGTGTAGTAGAGCATGTTCATCCAGCCCAAAAGCAAAGCGAACACCATAGGCAGCACGTATTTTTCCGTGTTTGCAAAGAACATCACGGACGAGACCAGGATGGCGCATGCCTGCACAAACCTGGAAGGGCCAGAGAGAGAAACAGAGAAGCAGCGATCATTTGGGAGGACGTACGGTGGCTGTCAGGGTTCCGACGATTGCCCTAATTCAATCATGAGTCTTGAGCCAAGCTTCAAAAAGAATCCAAAAGATTTATTAGGAGCAACATGTCCGGCACTAACCTGTATGAAGCCAACTCTGAGACGTGTAATTTATTATCATCTATGACCCTGTTTTCCCCCCACTCCCCCCGGGTGTGTTATATATCAGATTCTCCAACGAAACAGGTTCACGGGATGGGTGTCATCAATCGCGCTCTCCAATGAAAGATTTTCAAGGGCAGAAGATCCGGTAGCCTAGGTTACAATCTCCACAAGATAAGCATGGAATTAAGCATGGGTGGTATTCAGCCGGTTCGTACCGGTTCACATGAACCGGTAGCAAAGATTTGGCATGGGTCGCCGAACCAATAGTAACTTCTAGCTGACCATGCCCTCAACCCGGTCGCCCGGTTGCCGCTCGCTCGCTTGCCCACCCGTCCAATACTTGCTCACCCAACCCTGCCTGCCTGACGCTCCCCTGCCCAGTTACTCCTTAAGGTATTTTTTTTTCCCCTCCCAACAATCAGCTTTTCCTAAGATCCTAAGCAGTGCCAGGATTCCCCTCGCTTACTTACTGCTTCATCTGAGGCCCAGGAAAGGCAAAAAATGGAGGGGCCCCAGGGAGGCCCCAAAACGAAGTGTGTGTGTGGGGGGTGCTGCGTGGCCCCCCCATACTTCATTTTTTGCCTTCTTGAGCCCAAGGGAAGCCCCCTGGGAGCAAAAACTAAGGAGGGTTCTCTGAGGCCCAGAAGGCCCAAAAAATGAAGGAGGGGTGCTGCAAAAAGCAAAAAAAAAGAAAAAGCCCCACACCCACTCAGTCACACGGCCATACCCCCTACCTACACCCCTTAGCCACGGCCACAGAACCGGTAGTAAAAAATTTTTGAATACAACCACTGATGGAATGTGCTTCTGGCGTTCACCTGCCGCACTGTTCCCTCAGGCCTTCTAATATCAACTCGGGAACAGGCATAGGAATGAGTTATGAGTTGACGGTGGGAAAGACCACGACAGAGGAAGAGATGCTGTTTTTAGGGCATGTTCCGATAAGAGAAGACAGAGCCCACAGCTGCATAACGGGGCAGAGAAAGAAACCCAGAAAGGAGCCTCTTTGGTGTCTCAGGCTATCAAAGAGACAACGGGAGATTTGTATTTTCAGCTCTGCGAGATGATGTTAATCTAGCTGTACAATAAAATAAAATGATCTCATCTGGTTGCTTTTTCTGGCTGATTTACCAGAGACATGAAAGCCGGCTGGGTAACCTTGGGCCAATCACCAGGAGACAGTGTGTTCCAGTCCTGCCTTAGACATGAAATTCGCTGGGTGATTTTGGGCCAATCCAAAGGAGGTGGTGAGTTCTAGTCCTACCTCAGCCAAGAAAGCCAACTGGGTGACTTTGAATCAACCACAAGGAGCCAGTGAGTTCTAGTCCTACATCAGGCATGAAAGTCGACTGGGTGACTTTGGGCCAATCACCAGGAGATGGAGAATTCCAGTCCTGTCTTAGACCTGAAATCGGTGGGTGATTTTGGGCCAAACACTAGGAGGTGGTGAGTTCTAGTCCTACCTCAGCCACAAAAGCAAACAAGTGGCGTTTTCATCGATACTTCCAACAAAAGGCCAATATCCAATGAGTAGTGGAAGTAACCAGTGGAACATCTTGCCACCAGAAGTTGCAGTTGCTCCATGACTAGAGGTTTTTAAGAAAAGACTGGACAGTCCCCCCATCTGAAATGGTCTAGGCTAGGATCTCCTGCTTGAGCAGGGGTTGGACTAGAAGACCTCCAAGGTCCCTTCCAGTTCTAATCGGATAGATTGGTTAATTGGATCCCTCCATAAAAACAGCAACGTATACGCACGTACAGCAATATGTCGAAGCAGCTGTCCATTAGAAGACCTTTCAGAGAGTGGCGTCTTCTCCAGAAGAGAACGCCCTGAAAGGGAATAAATAAGAACAGAAATCAGAAGGCTGTTGTCATGCTCACCTCGGAGCCTGAATCTATGGAGGAAGACGAGCCAGAACTGGAGCCAACAAAGATCGAGTGGGCGACTTCGTTGGCTTGGGAGGAAAATGGGCAGGAGTAGATAGTCAGGCCTGGGCCTTTCAGGATTGGGACAACTTGTAGGCAGGGAGGAAGGTGGTCAGGAGGGCCAAGAGAGGCTAAGCAGTGAACATAAGAGACAGAGCTCAGGTGATGAGTAAGGACCACCCACTCCTGATCCGAGAGCATGGAGAGTGGAGAGAAGGCAAGAACAGCGCAGACTGAGCTGACTACTTGGGAGGAGAGCATCCTGCCCCTCTTCACAAGGCAGACCTGGGAACTGAGACTTAAGGAGATGCTGTAGGGAGGGACATTTATCAGGAACAAATGCTGAATTCCTGGAATGTTGAGTGCCGACGTTTGAACGTTCCTGGATACCTTGCTTTGCTCCTTTGCTTCCTGGACTCTTCAACTTGCCCTGCTGGATTTCTTATTTTGCAGCAGTGGTGTTCACAGCGTTTGGTTGGACTATTTGCAGCCAGAGGCTGCTTGAGGTGTGTGTGTGTGTGTGTGTGTGTGTGTGTGTGTGTGTGTCATCACTTTGCTCTGGGACTTGCCAGAAACATGGGAGTGTCTGGGGAAATTTGGAGCAATAACGGGGCAGTTTGAATGGCCAGCTGCCTGTGTTATCTCTATGCTATGCCCCAGGTCATCACAACTGCATTATGACAGAGATGTGGGAAGGGGTGTGCATGACTTAGTTCACACTGGCCAATTGTTCATTTTGTCGAGGACTTGCCTGTAAGTGGAGTTGTAAAACGCCCAACGCCATTTTGTAGAAGAAGCAGTGGCTATCATTTGGGACTACAATTTCCGTCGCTAAGCAAGGCAGTTGTTAACTGAGTCACTGAGCCCAGTTTTATGACCATTTTTGGCATGGTGAAGCAACTCATTTGCCCTTGTTAAGCGAATCATGTGGTTGTTAAGCGAATCAAGCTTCCCCCGGGGACATTGCTGGGGATGTCGCAAATGGTGATCACATCACACACACACAGGCACACACACCCTGGGATGCTGCAATCATTGTAAGTACACACTGCGAGCTAAACACCTGCATTTTGATCAGGATTGTAGCAATGGGTTGTAAGTGCGAGGATCTATCGTAGGTCACTTTTTTCAATGCTGTCTTCACTTGGAATGGCTGAAGTAGAGAACCTGTCTATCTGGTGTTCACAGAACCATCTGCCACTGAATGTCCATAAAACCAAAGAACTGATTATGGACTTCAGGAAACATGGACAGGACCACGCCCCACTCATCATCAACGGAGAACGAGTGGAAACTGTCCCTACGATCAGATTCCTTGGCATCCATATTTCAGCTGATATCTCCTGGTCCCCTAACCCCAAGGCCATAGTGAAGAAGGCTCAGCAGCGGCTGCACTTCCTGCGGGTTCTCAGGAAGAACAATCTGGATAAGAAGCTGTTGCTGGCTTTCTATAAAGCCTCTGTGGAGAGCACTCTGACGTACTGTCTGGGTGTGTGGTATGCAGGCTCCACAGCTGAGGACAGGGAACGGTACAGAGGGTGATAAACACAGCTCAAAAGATCATTAGTTGCCCTCTGCCCTCCCTGGAAGACTTAGCCAGGTCCCGCTGCCAAAGCAGAATCAAGGCCGTTATAGAAGACCCCTCACACCCTGGCAATTATCTTTTTGACCTGCTGCCATCTGGACGGCATTTTAGGTCAATAAAATCCCACACCACTAGACTAACAAATAGTTTCTTTCCCTGGGCCATCCGAACCGCAAATAAACACAAAGTCACTACCTTATTAAGATGTGAAAAGATGTGAAATATCTCAATACCCCATTCAGATGTATAATAACATATTACAGTACAATCCATCTCTTATGTATTACACTCGGCTAAGCATTACAATCAGTGTTGGATGTATATTTTGCGTATATTCGTAGATATTGTACTCTCAAATTGCAAATGGAGACGTGGGTACTCTATCTTTCTTATCTTCATTTTTAAGTGCTTTGGTTTTATTGTATTGCGAACATCTGCTGGGGTGCATCCACAGTTTCGTTGTACTTGTACAGTGACAATGAAGTACTTCTAATCTTCTAATCTAATCTGTTAAACGGATGGTTCTCAGACAAGTTATGACCACCATTGTGCCCCAAATTTCTGTTGTTAAGTGAAACATTTCCTTAAGTGAGTTTTGCTCCACTTTACAACATTTCTTGCCTCGGTTGTTAAGTGAACCCCTGCAGTTGTTAAGTTAGTAACCTGGTCGTTAAGTGAGTCCGGCTTTCCCATTGACTTTGCTTGTCAGAAGTTCGCCAAAGGGGATTACGTGACACTGGGACTCTGCAACCGTCGTAAATATGAGTCAGTTGCCAAGCGTCTGAATTTGAACCATGTGACCACGGATGCTGCAATGGTTATAACTGTGAAAATAAGTCACTTTGCCGTTGTAACTTTGAACAGTCGCTAAGTGAACTGTTGTAAGTCAAGGACTACCTGTACTAAAAATGCATTTGCGATCAGAGGAGCCGTAAACAAAAAAGGACATCCATCTTACCTGAGCAACGAAGAAATAAATGCCACCAATCAAAATGACCACAGCTCCAAGAAGTCTTAATAAGTCCTTGGTGGTCATTGTCATTGGAACAAGAGGCTGTAAAGAGAGGAAGAGAGCAGGCTAAGGACAGAGACTTTGGGGTTGGGGAAATGGCAGAGCCTTCAGTTCGGTGTCTCTCAACCTTGGCAGCTTTAAGAGGGGTGGATTTCAGCTCCCAGAATCCCCCAGCCAGCCTGCTGGGGGAAGTTAAAGTCCACAAGTCTTAAACGTGCCAAGATTGGATACCCCTGGCCTAGATCTTAGACCTTTCACCTGAAGTATTTTCTAAATCTTAGATATAAGTACAGTGAGAGCTTATGCACTGGAGACAAATTACTTGTGGTTCCAATTGCACTTGGCCAATATTTTTTTATTATATTTCTATTTCTATTTCTATTTCTTCTATTTCTATTATTTCTATTTCTATTATTTCTATTTCTGTTTCTGTTTCTGTTTCTATTTCTATTTCTATTTCTATTTTAAATTTATTAAACATTTATTTGACATACATTTAAAACAGACAAATCAATATATACACACACACACACACACACACACACACACATATACATTTTACAGCGTATATTGAGCAATGGTTAAAAAAAAAATTTCTTTATCATTGACGTGATCTGCCTTGTTACAATAACTCCTTCGTTCTTTTAACGTTTTAATTTCTCTATATAGTTTATAATTAAATGCATGTCTTAAAACTTGAACCCGAAACCTTTCTGCTAAGTATGATAGATTTAAACATGGAGAAAAAACTATCAGTATTTAATTTTGCACATCATAACTGCGGCCAGAATAACCTATGCACAAAACTGGAAATTATCTTTCATTCCTTCAGAGGATATGATAATTAAAAAAATACATGAATGTGCTGAGATGGATAGCCGAACCAAATTGTTAAAAAATAAGCAAGATAGTGACTATTATGAAATATGGAACATTTGGTATGATTGGTTAAAGAAAAGGTAATATTTGATATTTGGATAAGTTATGGAAATGACAGAAGACGTGCATTCTATTTCTATTTCTATTTCTATTCCATTCCAATCTTTTATATTTCTATTCCATTCTATTCTTATTGATATTTCTATTCTATTCTTGATATTTCTATACTATTCTATTCTAATTGATAATTCAACTTATTGAAACTATTACACCAAAACCATCCATTTTTTAAAAGAAGAGTTACCTCATCCTTTGGTGGCCAGTTGTAAGCAATGATTGTGAAGATTGTCATGAAAATCAAATGGAAGAAAAAACTGATGAGAAATCTTTTTCTAATGAAAGATTCCCACTTGTGCTGAAGTAGCTTGTTCAAAGGCTCCAGGGCCAACATTTCGTACCGGTTCTGTGGACGGAGAGATCATGTCAGGGAGTTTCGCAGCAACCGGTGTCCAAATGAAGTCAGAGATGCTGACCAGAACTTGTAGTTTTATATAAATAAATATATTTTACATCTACACAGATAGCAAAGTAGATAGTCAGGCAAACAGGAGCATCATGAGGTAAACCACAGAGCAAACAGGGCCCATGGAAGAAAAAGGACGAATAAAAGGGAAACTCCACACCCACAGCAACCAAGGAGAAGGAGGAGAAAAAGGAGGAGGAGGAGGAAGAGGAGAAAAAGAAAGGAGGAGGAGGAGAAGGAGGAGGAAGAGGAAGAGAAGGAGGAGGGGGAGAAAAGTAGGAGCAGAAGGAAGAGGAGGAGGAGGAGGAAAAGAAAGGAGGAGGAAGAAGGGGAGGAAGAGGAGGAGAAGAAAAAAGAGGAGGAGGAACAGGCAGAAGAAGAGAAGGGGACAAGGAGGAAGAAGAGGAGGAGAAGAAATCACTTTGGCGGAAAAACAAAGCTGGTCACGTTGCCAACTTCAAAAGCTGATACAAAAATTTATGCCACCAGATAAAAACTGAATGCACCAATTATCACATTAAACAAGAAGAAAAACTTATATGCACCAATTCCACCCACGCTTTCTACAATTTTGTAAACAACAAACTTAAAAGACTCACGGTCCATCCCACCCCTGAAAGGACCTAATGGTAAAGACTGCAACGACGACACCATGAAAGCCAACCTCTTTAACACATTCTTCGGCTCAGTATTTGTAAACAGCAATGGATCATGCCCAGTATTTCCTAGCCGAACCACAGAAAACTACAATGATCTAATACATATCGATTTTACAGAAGATAATGTTGAAAAAGCACTACGCAATCTAAAACCATCTCTATCTATTGGACCGGATGGAATATGTGCCTATTTCTTAAAAAAGCTATCCACTGCCACAGCCACACCTCTAAGCATAATCTTTGAAAAATCTTTCAGGACCAGCTCCTTGCCTAACCTATGGTCACAAGCCACGGTCATCCCCATCTTCAAAAAGGGAAACCCCAGCCTAGTTGAAAATTACAGAACAATCTCCTTATGCTGTGTCACATATAAAGTCATGGAATCAATTATTAACCAATCCATCATCCTCCACTTAGAGACAATCAACCTACGCTCTAATAAACAATTTGGTTTCAGAAAAAAACTATCCTGCAATCTGCAACTCTTACACTGCAAAAACATATGGACTACACAACTCGATCAGGGCAAAGCAATAGACGCAATCTACATAGACTTCTGTAAAGCCTTTGATTCAGTGGTACACGACAAACTACTCCTAAAACTAAAATCTTATGGTATCTCTGGACAACTGAATAACTGGATAGAAGCATTCCTGGCAAACAGACAACAAATGGTCAAAATTGGGAGCGTCCTATCAAATTCTGTACCTGTCAATAGTGGTGTCCCCCAAGGCAGTGTTCTAGGACCAACTCTCTTCATACTCTACATAAATGACCTCTGTGGTCATATTAAGAACAACTGTGTCCTCTTCGCTGATGATTTAAAGCTGTTCAATACCACAGACAATACTGCTACCCTATAAAAAGATCTTGACTATGTATCAGAATGGTCAAACAAATGGCAGCTTCAAATCTCAACAAATAAATGCTCTGTCCTATATATTGGCAAAAAAAATCAGAAAATAAAATACAGGCTGAATAGTCAAGACCTTGTTGATGATCCAAACTCTGTCAAGGATCTTGGAATACTCACCTCAAATGACCTAAGTGCTAGAGCCCACTGTAACTGCATAGCCAAAAAGGCGTTAAGAGTTGTTAACCTAATCTTACGTAGCTTTTTCTCTGGTAATATCACACTACTAACTAGAGCATACAAAACATTTGCTAGACCAATACTCGAATACAGCTCATCAGTCTGGAACCCACATTATGTATCTGATATTAACACAGTTGAGAAAGTCCAGAAATATTTCACAAGAAGAGTTCTCCACTCCTCTACTCGTTGTAGAATACCTTATGCCACCAGACTCGAAGTTCTACACCTAGAAAACCTAGAACTACGCTGCCTTCGGTCCGATCTAAGTATAGTATATAAAATCATACATTGCAATGACTTACCTGTCAGTGAATACTTCAGCTTCAACCATAACAACACAAGAGCAAACAATAGATACAAACTCAAGGTTAACCGCACCAAACTTGATTGCAGGAAATACGACTTCAGCAATAGAGTGGTCAATGTCTGGAATACTCTACCTGACTCTGTGGTTTCTTCCCCAAACCCCAAAAACTTTAACCTTAGACTGTCTACTGTTGACCTCACCCCTTTCCTAAGAGGTCTGTAGAGGGTGTGCATAAGCGCACAAACGTGCCTACCGTCCGTGTCCTATTGTTTCTTTTATATATATTTTTATTTTTCTTATATGTATCCATGTATTCATAACTATGTTTTTACTTATATAAGCAATTGACAAATTAAAAAAAAATAAAAAATAGAATATAAAAGAGGAAGAAAAGGAAGAAAAGGAGGAAGAGGAGGAAGGGGTGCGGAGAAGTGGGGAGAAGAAGGAGGAGATGGTGCTTAATGAAGGAATTGCAGGGCCGAGAAGATCCTGAGAAGAAAAATCCTTGACTGGATCTACTAACTGGAACATCACTGTTGTAGGCCAGGGTCTCCAGCATTGAGTTCTCCTCACAGCTGTCAATGGAGGTCAGATCGTAGAGGGAGCTCTGGATGGGGCCATAGGTCCACTCGATGAGCTTGCGCGAAAGGTGGTGGAACTTGCGTTCCTTCATGTCTCGCTGGAGCATGTGCTTGAGAATCTGGAGAGACCAAAACGGTTGAGTTGGTAACGGTTGAGTGTCTTGGGTGGGTCCAACCATCATCTGGACATATTTGACCTTCTTGAAGTCACGTCTGATAGCTAAGCTATGCAATCCAGAAAACCTCAGCACAAACATGACTCGCTTTGGACCTGACCTTTTAATTAATCCTTAATAATGCTACTATTAACTATAACTAATATCAGTAATAATACTATTAATTATATTATTATTTAATATTAACATCATTATTATCAATATGAACAATAATATTACAAAGTAATTATCATTACAGTATTTGCATTGATAATTTAATTAAATGCGATTAAACATGATTCATAAAATAATAGTAAAAATAACAACAACAATAACAATGATAAACCTCTTGCATCTATGTCCATTTCTCCTTTTTTCTAGTCTGTCTCCAAGAAGTTGGGCGCACCCATAATGAAATCAAGCTGACTGTCAACTAAAAAAAAAAAATACTCCTTTGGTATTTTTAGTTGCCAGCAGAAAGGGAGTGGGGGAAAGCAGTGCATTCCTTACATGCTTCAGATAATTGCTAGGCGGCCGAAGCTGTTGGCGCGCAAGATTACTACTGGTAGAGCATGATTGATGACTCTTGGCTATGGATGTGTCCCATTGGAGAATATACGTCCAGGAGGTGGGGTGGGGGGAAGACCAGGGTCAAGGGGGAAATGTGTGGTGTATTTTAGTGTCGGCTGCACCCAGCTAATGTCAACATGGGCATTCCTAATAAATCAATTTTTTTTTTACTCTTGAAAGATGCGGCTAGAAACTTACGATTTGAATGGGGGTGGGTTTGTTGGGAGTCCTGACACTGACATTACACAGACCACAGTATACGGTAGTCATGTAAATACAGGTAGTCCTTGAGTTACAACTGTTCATTTAGTGACCGTTCAAAGTTACAACGGCACTGAAAAAAGTGACTTAGGACCGTTTTTCGCACTTATGACCATTGCAGCATCCTCCTGGTCAGGAGATCAAAATTCAGACCCTTGGCAACTGACTCATATTTATGACAGTTGCAGTGTCCCAGCGTCACGTCATTCCCTTTTGCGACAAGCAAAGTCAAAAGCCAGAATCAATTAATGACCGTGTTACTAACTCAACCACTGCAGTGATTCACTTAACAATTGTGGCGAGAAAGGTCATGAAATGGGGCAAAATTCGCTTAACACATGTCTCACTTAGCCACATAAATTTGGGGCGTCATGTCGAGGACTACCTGTACTTCACGCAAGACTGGCGGGGGAATTCTGGGAGTTGAAGTCCACCCATCTTAAAAATGCCAAGTCAGAGGAGCAATTATGTGAAAAAATCACTTTCTCTAATGCCGTTGTAACTTGGAAGCATCACTAAATGAATGGTTGTAAGTCGAGGACTGTGTATCATGGCAAAGAGGGTGACTACCTCGACTTTCCCAGTCTTGACAGCCAGCGTCAAAGGGGTCAGCTTTTCCCCATTTTTAATCACTTCCAACTTGGAGGGAGGGTCCATCTCGGCCCCTTTCATCAGGATCCTGTCATACATGTTGACCACGAGCTCAGTGTTCTTCTCCGTGTTGTTGGCCACCATCACCAGCGCATGGAGGACGGTGTTGCCCATGGAATCCTGTTTGGTCAGCTTGGCCTTCTTGTGATGGTTATCCAGGAGGCACATGACCACGTCTGGCTGGTTGGTACAAGCGGCCAAGGAGAGAGGAAGTTCACCTGGAAGAGAAAGGACGATTGGCCAAGGTTGCATTGAACATCTAGATCAGAGGTGTCCAACTTCTTGAAGACCTGTGGACTTCAACTCCCAGAATTCCCCAGGCAGCAGGTCTTCTAGTGGCCAAGGTTGAAGTTCACAGGTCTTTAAGTCTTCTGGTCTTCAAATGCCCCTGGTTGGCCACTTCTGATCTGCAGTGTCTCCCAGAGAGGGAGGATATCAAATCCCCTTTGCTGATGAAAACAAGGATACCTGCAGGGGTGGTTAAAAAGTAGAAATGCACCCACAACATTTGTCCTGCTGACATACCGAAATAAAAGTGGGCCTCTTTTCGGTCCTTCTGGAACAAAAAACCAGAAGCCTTGGCATGGACATCAGCCCCATTCTCCACCAGGAGCTTCACAAATTTGTAGTTCCTCTTCTCGATGGCGATGTGGAGGGCTGTTTGGCCTGCAGAGATGGTGAAAAACAGCACCGGATAAAAATGGAAGGGTTTATCAGAGGTGTCCACACATTTTGGTCAAAACAGTCAAGATGGCAGCCACCCCAGGACCATCAAAGATACACCTGTTTTCTTGTTTCACTGAAAAAGCTCCGTTGTTTTTTTTTTAACTGAACCACTAATGTCAGCCATTCCCCCTAATTTCCAAGCGTGGGATGGGTTTCCAAAAACGAGAAGAGAACCGTCCCTTTAAGATCTCCTGGGATGGTGGTGGCCATCTTGGCTTTTATGACCCCATTCTTGGCTGTCTATTCAGAAAGGCACCCACGTTTGTTATGTCAACATTGGGGGAGGGCATGGAAATTGAAGAAATAAATAAACATTCCCTTGGAGAGAGGAGGAAAAGGAGGAGATGATGATCTGGCTGGGCTAAACTCTGCTGGGTTTCAGAAAGAGGAAGGAAGGAAGGAAGGAAGGAAGGAAGTTCCAACCTATCCAAACTGAAGATCTCCTTCCAGCCACCCCACCCTAGAAAACAGAGTCCTCCACCCTCAATGTTGCAAGAAGACGCCTTACCTTCATAGTAGCTGTCAGTGCAAGCGGTGTTGACCAAAGGGTTGGGGTTCTTGGTCTCCTCGTCTATCTTCAAGAGCGCAGGGATGGTGGGATTCTGCCCGTCTTTCAAATTGAGCAGGGCCTTCATCAAACAGGTCTTGCCTGTCTTCCCATCTGGAAGAAAGAAGTCCAGGGAAAGGAGGCTTGGGTGATGCTGTGGGTTCTCCGCTTTGGCCGCCTGAAGATGGGCGGACTTCAACTCCCAGAATCCTGGAATTAGGAACAAATCTGGCTGGGGAATTCTGGAAGTTGAAGTCCGCCCATCTTCAAGAGGCCAAAGTGGAGAAACGCTTCGCTGGGTTCACTTTTCCCACCTGGATACTTTCCAGACGTGGTTAAGTAAGTTGCTTCTCCCACCACCCAGTCAGCACAATCAAGCGCTCAGGAGCATGGGAACTGTAGTCCAGTGTCATTCCCTCTGTAAAGGCTCGGCAATCTAGTTGAGGAATTTGGAGAACATATAGAAATGGAGGCACCCGTTGCTTCTAACATCTTTGGAGGACATTTGGGCTACCAAATCTTAGCCCACCCAAGGCCCAGCAGGATCTGGGCAGGGGGCGCAGCTGCAGCCCAAACCAGTAGCAGACAGAGGCATTGTGTAATTTTGCACCCGTGGGATGGTTTTTCGGGTGCTCCAAATGAACATTACAAAACAGGTTGAGACTTTAGAAAAACTGCAAAGAAGAGCAGCTAAGATGATTAATAGGCCTGGAGGCTAAAACACATGAAGAACGGTTGCAGGAATTGGCGTTTGGCTAGTCTAGAGAGAAGAAGGACTTGGGAGGTACTGTTCTGACCAAGGCTTTCCCGAGATCGTAATTAATCACACACTTAGTCCAAACAACTCTCTTTTTATTTCAACGCTGAGAATTATTTTCATTCCCAGCCTGTAATGAGTCCCAAACAGTCCCTCGAGATAAGCACCCACCTTTCTTTCCTTTGAATTGCTGCCAACAACTAGAGTGCCAAATGAATTATAAAAAGCCAAACGGAGTACAAAGTCCACCCAGAGCTTCAAGGTTTAATCTGAACACAGCGAACAAAGTTGCTTCCTGCAAAGGGCTCCTGTCCCTTTGCTCCTCCTTTATGTCTTATGGGAGGGGCCAATCATCTCCAAGCCTTACTCCCGTGTCGCCCCTTTTGTCTTAACTGTTCTTGCCTTCTGGCAGCTCTGTGCACACGCGCACTGGGAACAGGCTCCCCCTGCTCCTCCTCCTAGCTGCTGTCAGATTCTGGAGGCTCCGGAGTCAGCACACAACTCCCAGATGACCCTGGCCCCATCTCTGTTATCGGACGCAGCACCCTCGTCCCAGTCCTCCCCAGACTCCAGGACTGGCCCATGTTCCTCCCCATTGTCCGATTCCACTGCCGTCTGCACAGGCTGCCAGCGGACCACAACAGGTACATAACAGCAGAGTGTTCCAACATTAAGGGGGTCAACTTATTTTCCAAAGCCCCAGAAGGCAGGGCAAGAAACAGTGGATGGAAACCAACCAAGGAGAGAAGCAACCTGGAATGAAGGAGAAACTTGACAATGAGGACAATTAACCAGTGGAACAGCTGGCCACCAGAAGTTGTGGCTGCTCCATCGCTAAAGGTTTTTAAGAAGAGATTGGATAGTTACTTGTCTGAAACGATATAGGCGCTTGAGCAGGGGGTTGGACTAGATGATCTCCCAAGGTCCTTTCCAGCTGTTTTCTGATTGATAACCCACCCACCCCAGTTCAACTCTGAGCTGCAAATATTCCCTTCTAGGGGCAGTTCTATGAGGCTTGCCTTGGTTTTATGCTGACATGAGAGTCGGCAAGAAAGAGTAAGCGATCTACCTGTATATTCAGGGTCGGAGAGAAAGGTGCGCGTTCTCTGCAGATAATCGCTCAGGCCGTTGAGCTGTTCAGGATCTCCCTCGGCCACGGCTTTAAAAATATGGTCCCTGTCGAAGCGATCGGGATCATCCGGTTTGCAGTAGAGAAAGGAAAGGAAAAGGGTCCAAGTGGAATTCAGTCCTTCAGTCCACTGTCCAGCTGATGACTTTGGGCCAAATACCAGGAGATGGTGAGTTCTAGTCCTGCCTTAGCCATGAAAGTTGGCTGGGTGCCTTTGAGTCAATTAACAAGAGATGGTGAGTACTAGTTCCGCCTTAGTCATGAAAGTTGGTTGGGTGCCTTTGGGCCAATCACTAGGAGACCGTGAGTTCTAGTCCTGCCTCAGCCAGGAAAGCCAGCTAGGTGCCTTTGGCTCAATCACCAGAAGACGGTGATTTTCTAGTCCTGCATTAATCACGAAAGCTGGCTGGGTGACTTTGGGCCAATCTCTAGGAGACAGTGAGTTCTAGTCCCGCCTTAGCCATGAAAGCCGGTTCAAAGAACATACATTAATAGAGTTGGAAGGTTAGTAATAGGTTAATAAACTTAAGAATAGGTTGGGCCAATCGCCGGGTGATGGTGAGTTCTAGTCCTGCCTTAGGCACGAAAGCTGGTTGGGTGATTTTCGGCCAGTCCCTCTCTCTCTCTCTCTCTCTCTCTCTCAGCCCAACCCACAGGAGGGTTGTTGTTGTGGGGAAAATAGAAGGGGGAAGGTGCTTGTGCGTTGTTTTAAGACACCCGAAAAGGACCACAACTCAACCTATAAGCCGTTGACAGAAATCCACGCAAAGTTCTTTCTGGTGGGGAAATTCTGCAAAATAATTCTCACCGGTGTCAGTGATAATGACTTACCTGACGGCTCCTGCCTCATTTTTCGGATTCGTCCAGGGAGGGGCTTTCTTCAGGAGAGGGGTCTCCAAGGTTGGTGGTTCATGCTCCTCTCCAGCTGACCCCTTCAGGGCTGAGTTCGGATCCTCTCCAAGACTATCAGCCATCTCCAGGACACAGAGGCATTTCGTCATCTTCCTGACAGGGTGACCGTGAAGTGGCAGGTGGGCCGAGGGCTGATCCCAAAGGGCTGGAAGAACTGGATAAGGAAGGGTTGTGGGGAAGAGATTGGCCTACAGGGATCTTGGAGTTTTAGCGGACAACTGATTAAATATGAACCAATAGTGTGTGGCAGCAGCCCAAAAAGCCATACAGGGATACAATCAAGATCAATGGAAGTACTAATACCACCAGTGGTGGGATTCAAAAAAAATTATGACCAGTTCTGTGGATATGGCTTGGCGGGCATGGCAGGGGAAGGTTACTGCAAAATCCCATTCGCTCCCCACCCCACTAACCTGCTTTCCAGCTCCGTTCTCCTGTGCAGGGCAACCAAAGAAGACCCAGCCAATCAGCTGGGACTTGATAGGAGGCAGAGAATAGACGGGGGCTGGACCAGTCACAGGTGGTATTCCGAACCACTCAAAATTTCTGCTACCAGTTCTCCAAACTACTCAAAATTTCCACTACCGGTTCTCACGAACCTGCTGAATACCACCTCTGAATACCACTCTATAAAGCGTTAGTAAGACCACAGCTAGAGTACCGCATCCAGTTTTGGTCACTACTCTATAAAAAAGATGTTGAGACTCTGGAAAGAGTGCAGAGAAGAGCAACCACGATGATTATGCTAAAACATACAATGAACGGTTGCAGGAACCAGACATGGCTAGTCTAGGGAAGGGAAGGACCAGGGGAGACAGGAGAGCAGCCTTCCAATATTTGAGGGGCTGTCACAGAAAGGAAGGAGTCAAGCTATTCTCCAAAGCACCTGAAGGCCAGAAAAGGAATCATGGATGGAAACTGAACAAGGAGAGATTCAACCTAGAAATAAGGAGGAATTTTCCGACAGTGAGAACCATCAACCACTGGAACAGAAGTTGCCTTCAGAAGTTGTGGGAGCTTCATCACTGGAGGCTTTCAAGAAGAGATTGGACTGCCATTGGTCAGAAATGGTGTAGGGTTTCCTGCTTGGGTGGAGGGTTGGACTAGATGACCTACAAGGTCCCTTCCAACAATCTGTTAAATCAGTGGTGGGATTCAAATTTTTTTACTACTGGTTCTTGTCGGCGTGGCTTGGTGGGCGTGGCAGGGGAAGGATACTGTAAAAGCTCCAGTCAGAGGTGGTATTTGCCGGTTCTCAAAACTACTCAAAATTTCCGCTACCGGTTCTCCAGAACTGGTCAGAAGCTGCTGAATAGCCACTTCTTTGTTAAATATGTTAAATGAAAAACATCCGATTAGTAAAGGTAAAGGTTCCCCTCACACATACGTGCTAATCGTTTCCGGCTCTAGGGGGTTACAAAGCCAAAGAGCCAGCGCTGTCCGAAGATGTATCTGTAGTCATGTATCTGTAGTCATGTGGCCGGCATGACTAAATGTCAAAGGCGCATGGAATGCTGATACCTTCCCACCAAAGTGGTCCCTATTTTTCTACTTGCATTTTTACCTACTGTTGAACTGCGAGGTTGGCAGAAGCTGGGACAAGTAACGGGAGCTTACTCCATTACGCAGCGCTAGAGATTCGAACCGCTGAACTGCCAACCTTTCTGATCAACAAGCTCGGCGCCTTAGCCACTGAGCCACCACGTCCCTTACTATTAATATTAATATTCCCATTAGTAGCAAAGTAAAAAAATAAGCCTTTAGTGCCTCTGATCTAAAATGAAACTGCAAGTCCGTGATGGCCTTCTGCGCATGCTCCAAACTCATCTCATTCACAAGCCCCATTGTTTTATTTTAGGATGGGTAGGAGATACTCACTGAGGTTGGTTTTCACAATGCTTAATTGTCCCAAATCTCTAGAATCCTTTGCAGGGATCTTCAGCGATCGGTTTCGACATGATCTTTGGCCCGCAACCCCAATACAATCTCTCTGTGGCACGTAGGAAGAGCAGGGGTTCCAACCGGAATAGAGAAGCCTCAAGTATCTCTGCCAGCTAGGATGTTGTAACCGTTATAACCCTAAAAAGGAGGAAGTGGTCAGAGTTCTCACACTTGAGAAGACAAATCAGACACACAACCGTGAGGTGTGGCATTTCTTCAAGTCAGCTTTTTGTTGAGAGGAACCAAGAACAATTTCTGACCTTTGTGCATTTAATCACTGTGTCTAAAGCAGAAAAACAGCATCCCAATGCTTGTAACAGGTTGTTTCTTGGACTAGAGGTCATCTAGTCCAACCCCTGCTCAAGCAGGAGATCCTATACCATTTCAGACAAGTGGCTGTCCGATCTCTTTCTTTGAAGACCAAATGAACAGGTATAATATAGGTGGTACCTGGCTCAAAAGTAGTGACTGTGAGAGGCATCTTGGAGTCCTAGTGGACAATCTTTTAAATATGAGCCAGCCGTGTGCAGCAGCTGCCACAAAAGCCACACAATTCTAGGCTGCATAAACAGAGGGATAGAATCTTATTTCATTCTTCAACACAGTGACTAAATTAATAGACCAGCAAAAATACTGTGGACATAATATATTTAGATTTCAGCAAGGCATTCGACAAAGTAGACCATAACCTACTTCTTAGTAAGCTAGAAAAAAGTGGAATAGATAGCACCACCATCAGATGGACTCACAACTGGCTGGCAAACCATACTCAATGAGTAGTCCTTAATGGGTCTAAGTCTACATGGAGGGAAATAAGCAGTGGGGTGCCACAGGGTTCAGTTAGGCCCAGTACTCTTCAATATCTTCATTAACAACTTAGATGAGGGAATAGAAAGGGAACTTACCAAATCTGTAGATGATACTAAACTGGCAGGAATAGCTAACACCCAAGAAGATAGGCTCAAGATCCAGATGGATCTTGACAGACTAGAACACTGGGCCATATCTAACAAAATGAAATTCAATGTAGAGAAAAGTAAAGTCCTACACTTAGGCAAGGAAAACCAAAAGTACACATATAGACTGGGTGAAACCAGGCTCAATAGCAATAACTGTGAGAGGGATCTTGAAGTCTTAGTGGACAACCAGCTAAATATGAGCCAGCCGTGTGCAGCAGCAGCCAAAAAAGCTAATGCAATCCTAAATTGTATTAAAAGAGGGGTACAATCAAGATCAAGGGAGGTACTAATACCACTCTATAAAGCCTTAGTAAGACCACACCTAGAGTACTGCATCCAGTTTTGATCACCACATTATAAAAAAGACTCTAGAAAAAGTACAGAGAAGAGCAACCAGGATGATTAGCGGACTGGAGGCTAAAACATACAACGAAGGGTTGCACGAACTGGGCTTGGCTAGTCTAGTAAAGAGATGGACCAAGGGAGACAGGATAGCGGTCTTCCAATATTTGAAGGGCTGCCACAGAGAGGAAGGGAAGGTCAAGCTATTTTCTAAAGCACCTGAAGGCCAGACAAGGAATAATGGATGGAAACTGACCAAGGAGAGATTTAACCTGGAAATAAGGAGAAACATTCTGACAGTGAGAACAATCAACCAATGGAACAGAAGTTGCCCTCGGAAGTTGTGGGACTTGAGAGGGAAGTTGTGCCCTCTCAGTTGAGACTTTCAAGAAGAGATTGGACTGCCATTTGTCAGAAATGGTGTAGGGTCTCCTGCTTGGGCGGGGGTGTGTGGACTAGATGACCTACAAGGTCCCTTCCAACTCTGATTATCTGTTAAATCTGTTAAGATCACATGAAGTGTTAATGCCACTTTATAAGGCCTTGGTAAGGCCACACCTGGAATATGGCATCCAGTTTTGGTTGCCACGATGTAAAAAAGATGTGGAGACACTAGAAAAAGTGCAGAGAAGAGCAACAAAGATGATATGGGGACTGGAGGCTAAAACATATGAAGAACGGTTGCAGGAACTGGGTATATCTAGTTTAATGAAAAGAAGGAATAGGGGTGATACACTGGTTGCTTAGGAGTGCCAAAATTTTCTCAGCAATTATCTGTGGATTGGAAAAATGAGTATATGCCAAAAAACCAAGGAATAGAAAAAGGAGCCAAACAGCAACATCATCAGAACTTTGAAGCCATCCACAACCAATGCAGAACCTTCCTTGTCTTTGACCTCTTCTCAGCCACCCCCACCAGCCTGTTGTCCACTCTTTCAGGAGACAGTGAGTTCATTGGCATCTGGTTCTCCAGGTCAAGTCCCAAGAACTAAGATCTCCTGCTGCTTCTGCAGAACTTTGTGGTGCTTCCTTTTGGTTTATCTTCCTTTCCGAAGAGCGATGACTTCCTTCTTCAGTTGGCTGAAATGGCTTTTCTAGACAGGAAGGTCTGCTTCCTATCATCCAGACTCAGAAGGGACATTTCAGATTTTGACACAAGGTTCCGCATCACTTCAAGGTCAATTTCTGGGCTGACTCATCATCTCTGAAGAAGGCTTCTTGGCTGGCGACCTAATGGTGATGTCCTTATGGAGATCTTCACTGTCTTCCTCCAAATGATTGTTCTGCAGCTCTAATTCTTGGATCAGCAGGGTCCAACACCTTCTCCATTGTCTTCCTCAGTTTTCTTCCAGTTCTTCCAGGTCTGATGTTGAGACTCTGGAAAGAGTGCAGAGAAGAGCAACCAAGATAATAGGGGATTGAAGACTGAAACATATGAAGAACGGTTGCAGGATTTGGATATGTCTAGTCCAATGAAGAGAAGGACTAGGGGTGACATGATAGCAGTCTTCCAATATTTGAGGGGCTGCAGGCAGGAGAAGAAGCAACAGATGGAAACGAATCAAGGAGAGAAGCAACCTAGAACTAAGGAGGAATTTCCTGATTGTTAGAACAATTAATCAGCAGAATGGCTCGCCTTTAGGCATTGTGAGTGCTTCAACACTGGGGGATTTCAAGAAGAGATTGGACTACCATT